AGCAGGAATCGTTAATTATTCAAGTATTTTTGACTTCGGTACGATTTATTAGGTTGCTTCGTATAGATTAAACGCTTCGACGCCTAACCTCTAAATCGCCATGAATTTGTCTCCGCGACTTCAAAAAAGGCCCTCATACCTGAGGAAAAAGCAACATAATATCGCATACATAACCGCCAAGATATAAATCTATTCGCAACATACATGAGAAACAGAAAAGCAACGAAGCAATTCAACAAGGAAACCGTGATACCGACAATACAGAACGTGTTTTCTGCACTTTCTCGCAATCATTTGTCCACGCGCATGCGCGTGGAAAACAGTACACCGCGACAAAGCGATTTACGATCGCCGACGGTACTAAAAGTATTACCTTAGGTCGATTCATTGACTAGTTTCTACTTCAGTTACCACGAACACGAGACAATCGTCGAATCGGTATTTGAAAAATCACGAAAGGAGTTTCAATTGAATTCGGTTCGTATAATTCGTATAACAATTACAGCAAATAAAATTAATTAACAGATGTGAAGATCGTAATGTCGTTTAATTAATTATTTATATTCGAACCAACGCGAAATGCGTTTTACCAGGATCGTTATCGACCGGTAACGTTAAAGCGAAATCAACACTTACTCATTTCAAAATTCATTTATTCGAATATAAATCGACGACCAGGAATAAATAACGAGATTTTGAATTACAAAGATCAAATTCCATGATAAAGTACGATGATAAATTTAATGTGGGCATGATAATTTATTACTCTTTTTTGTAATTTAGGTATAAATTTAAGATGACTAAATTTAAATATATTTATTTCATTCGAATATTTATCAGCTATGGAAAATAATTGACAAAATTGTTTAATTACGTAAATAAATAAAACTCCATATTTAAGTAACTTTAATTCTTAAATTATTACCATTTGTTGTTTCTTTTTTTAATACAGGTAAATGAAACAATGAGCGATTAATTAATTAAAATTTCGTAGCTTTGTGATTTATTTGGTTCAGATATATCGCATAGTATATAAATACTAACATATCATATACAGTATTATAATACTAAATTAACATAATCTGGATTATTTCTGTCTGTCATGATTACCAAAATTAATTCGACTGAGAACTACTTTTCAAAAGTTTTTTTTAGGAAATTATATATTTATAAATATACCATAATACCTGTCTTTTCGTTTAAATTTAATTTATAAATTTCAACTTCCACATATAAACTTATCATTTTAAAATTATCATCTTTTTGGTATATACATATGCAGTTATATTCATAATTAGCATTGATAGTAAATGAAATTTATTAGACGCTGTAAATGTTATTTTCTCGTTATCAAAATAGTTATATTTATAGAAAGTATTAAAGACAAGAAAATTTTCAGTGAAATAACTAACGTATGTTAACATAATGTTAATATAACAAATTGTCTAAAATACATTTTATTATTAAAATTTTTAACATTGTTATTTACACATGCACAGGATTTAATGGTACGTAAATTCGTTACAAATTAAATAAAGAATAAAACAAAATTTAATGCAATTCTAGCTTCTAGTTCGAATCACTTTATTAGATTTTATCTATCACATTTTAAAATATTAATATAAAACTTACAAAAATGTCAGGTTATCTCATAAATAATATAGTTTCTGTATATATGTGTATATGCAATTTTAGAATTGTAAAATTATCAGTTGCTTCTTTGAATTAGACTTGAATTCTGAAAAATTGTTAAGACATTAATACAATGTATATTAATTATAAACTATTAAATTGTATTAAATTTTTTATTTTCCATAAAATTTTGTAATATGTACAGTAAATAATTGGAGAATAAAATAGTTAAAATAATTGCCAATTATACTCATTAAGTCTATTTAATATTTATATACGCATTTATTTAATATGTATACATTTCAACAATTACCATCTAATTTTCTCCAGAAAAATTCAAAATTTAACATAAGGAACAACATTATTTACGAAATAACCTGGCATCGTGCACAATTTCTTCAAGCAATCCTTGATCCACATCATTCGATCACAAATAACCTACATGAGTTACTCTCAAACTATTTAATTAACAATCCTAATTGTTACATTACTTAGATTCCATATTTAACCCATTGGAGACTATGATCACATCATATAACCACGTAATAATCACACGAGGTTCACAGTTACGAACCTAACCTCAAAGTCACCGAGCCAGACCTAACCTAACAAAACCAATTTAACATTCGAATTGCCACACGAAACGAAATTACATCAAACCTTTGCATACATACAATTACTACACACGCACTACCAATTTGACATAAACTGAGCAATGATAGCCTACAATGAGTACTCGGAACAATCCACGTGAAGGGGGTAATTTTTCGTATATGTACATTACCCTGTCGTCTATGCATGATTTTACGCGAGAACGAGAGTGCGTGTGCGAACGAACGAATGTCATGTTTTATTTTATGCACGTGATGTACACGCACACAGGGCCCCAGGGCGAGAAGGGGGAGATGGGACCAGCCGGTGAGCCGGGAGAGAAGGGTGTCCGGGGAAAGCAAGGGAAGAGGGTAAGCTTCAGCGAGGTCCTCCGGCGAACGACCACCGACCAAATCGACCGTGCAAACCATTCCGTCCTAACAACCGCTCATCGAATCGACCAACTTTCCATCGAGACTCTGAAACGAAAAATCCCACACCTGGCCTATCGCTCGTATCGCTCACGATCCCCCTGTTCCGTCCACAGAGATCCGTACCAGAGAACCTATCCTAGAGATTCTTTTTTGAATATGAAACTCCTCTGTTATATGTGATGCACGACACGAGAGCATATTATAGCTTCTTACAAAAGCGGATGCATGCCACTCTGGTTGAACGTTGGTTTTTTGGAACGAAACACTGGACTTTGTAGTCGAATCTTTGGTACCGCTTGACCGTCATCGTTCGGTGGAACAATTTGTATTTTTCTTTTTCTTTTTTTTTTATTTTGGTTTTGTCCCTTTGAGTTAATTACGCTTATATGAATTTTTGTATATTTGTTACAATAATCGTTTCCATTTCCCTTTTATTTATCACATTTTTATTCTCTTATTCGATCACTAGGAGGGAGTATAATTTTGTTAACAAGGGTGTTTTAAATGTCTTATTTCCTCGAACTGAATTTTTGCTTATTTTTATTTTCTTTTGCTTTTCATCCTTTTAATCCAGCCTGGTTTACACGAGTTTTCATGTTTCTATGGAGATTAACCGTTTTCGAACATTTTTAACCTTTTGCCTAATTACGAGAAGGGAATTTTGTTTTAAAAGTTCTTTGAAACGTTTAGACTCTCGGAGTTGAGTTTTTGGTTGTTTTCGAATTTTTGTATTTTCATTACCCGCTTTATTACCAATGACAGGTATGTTGGCCCCATTTGATTGCATTCAGAACATTAATTAAATATTTTACTGCATTTGAAATCGGTGAAAATAACAATTTAATTGCATTTCATGCCCTTTAAGTTTAGAAAGAATAAATAATAAAGTTTATTCCGAGGAAATCAATATTTGCTAAATTATAAATTAATTTAAGAAATAATTGTGCCATTTTTGTCATGCACTGCGTGTTTTGGGCTGGTATTAACAGAAACATTTTCAGTTTCTTTCCTTTTTCGTATGTTTTTACCCCTTTACTTGATCACGAGAAGAAAATGCAGTTTCCTGATGAAAATTTTGTTAAATGTCTAGCATTTGACACTTCTTCATCATCGTTTAGTAATTAAATTTTTATTTATTTTTCCTTTTTTCTCTTTGCCCCTTTAATTTCGTTTTTAATGTCGATTTTGTTACGTTTTCCACCCCTTACCTGGTCACGAAAGGAGTGTGCACAGTTTTATCGTAAAAGGCTTTTTAAATGTCTAGATTCCCGGAACTGTAATCGATGTAAGGGTTCGAGATCCAGATCTAAAAAGCGCCTTTGTGCCACCACCACACCGGTTCTCGAATGACGTGACGGTTATTCACGCTTTGAGACACCTGCATGGAAATCACGAGAGAGCACACTGCATGATCTTATCACGCACGCATGCGAGAATGTAACACGTATGGCACACGTACGATCACCTGCCTCTTTTCATTTAATAAACTGAAACAAGTAGCCGTTAAATTACATTGTCGTTCCGACGATGATGGATGGATTACGTTCTTCTTGTGTTTAGGACTAGCGTGACACGAGATCACAGATGCTATGAAAAATAGAGCACAAAAACGAGATTAACGAATCTGTCGACTCCCCCGTGAATTTCTATCGAAGAAAAATTCTTACGTTCACGATTCCCATTTACCGAAAGCGAATTATGAAATTTTGCAATTATCGTACAGTTCTCTGATGATAATTTGTCGAAATGCACGAAGAACCTATTCACTCCTGACGTCGTCTGATCAAAGTTGATGCGTAACTGTGACTCTGTCCAGTTGCCGAAAAGTGAAACGTTGGTGGCAGCAAATAACACGTATAACGCGATACTCGATACATTGCTCGATAGCAATTCACTTCTGAAGAGCCGCTACTCATTCGTGTCGCAGAAGAGACGCGCGGTTGTTAGAGGTTCTTCCTTCCAGTAAGGACGAAAGCTAAGTTCTTGATGGATGCGACCAAATTACACACCTGCGCACTAAAATCTCTAACCACGGCTTTTAAAAGTCATTCGATTCAACACTAACGTATTATTATTTTAAGGTCTAACCGTAAGTATCCTCGCATATTCATCGAACTGGTCGGGATGCCTTGACCAACGTGCGCGAACAACGAGACTCGGTGACGTTCGTTCGTCTTTGTTTCACGAACGAATCGTCATTTTCACTCGTTGACTATGTCCACCGTCCGACAAAGTCACCGTGATACCCCCTTTCTCTCTCTATCACTGTTCACTGACGAACTCGAAACGCGATCGAGACCCCTAGTACAATCATAGACGGAACGCTTCGCGAGAGTCGCGGGATCTCGCAGAGAATGGATATCGTCGAGTTTCCGGGAGAAATATATTCCACCAAATCGTAAGTTCTCTGGTGGCCTGGAGAGAAAGACATTCGACCATTAAAAGGAATTCGAGTCTTCTTTCGAGCTGGATCGTGTCTCGCAGACTCCACTGTACGCGGCTGGTAAGTAGGCTAGAGGGATATTTCGATTTCACCCTTGGTGCTCTTGAAATCCATACTTTCAGACTCTTTGCGGTACATTTTAACACGATATGAAATAAGTTACGTTGGCATTCTCTTAGATTAAACGATCTTACATTAGATAATTAACACTGATCCTATGTCTACTCTAGTGCTCTATCGCTCTGTCCTATTTAGACATAACCTTTTCTCTTCGTCACACGATGAGATAACTCTGTTGATAGATACGATATTGCCAGTCGATAATAAAGATTCGTGTGACCTATCTTCACGATTGCGAAGGTGGACTTATCATAGATAGTTAGACCCTAACTCCTCCCAAGTGCCAACTTACTAGCCACGTACAGCATCTGTTCGAGCCTCCTCGAGATACTCGGTGTTTCCTGACACGACAGTGTCCTGCACTGCCACTTGTCAAGGATTTTACCTGCGTAGCTTGCAAAAAGAGAAAATGAGAGAAAACAGAAGAGTCTCTAGTAAGTTTGCAGCGCTCTGTGTAATACCTCTACTCGGTTCCTAGGCTGCAAAGGTCAACTGATTTAGCTAACAAACTGTGTCCATCCGTGTACTAATAACAGTTGCGAAATTCTGGTTGGAGAGAACGAGTGAGAGATCGGGGTTGGGTAAGGGAGAAAGAAAGGAGTGAGGAAGGGTGAGTGAGGAAAGAGAGAGAGACTGTTCGCTTATCTTAGTCAGTAGTCTTTGGCGTAGTGTACGTAGCTTGTGTAACTAATTTGTGTTTAATGTAGCAAGTAACACCACACTACTTCTTCCCTGTGTGTCGGTTCAAATCACTAATAACTAATACTACTACGCCCGGCTTTGAGGCTCTCGCAACTTTATCGACCGGTGATCGATGCAAGCCTGCGATCGTCGCGTAAGTATCAACCAGCCCCTCAACAAACTATGTAGCTTTACTGTCGATTCGTCATTAAACAACATCGTGTCATATGCCGCTAATTCACAAGTACCATCGATATCTTTTATATATACTTATACATTTTTATATACATATTATATATATATATTTTTGTTAATGTTTCATCTCTCCCATCTCTCCTCTCGAACGCTGTGCGACGAGTTATCGAATCTCACTGATCAATTATTAATTATTGAAATATTAATCGTTAAAATAAAATCATTATCAGATTAACCACTTACACTGGTAAGAAATTCACAGACGCGTGTGCCAGAATGGTCCTGTGTTTCTGTGACAATTGCCTGATGACGTGCATACCACGTCGTTGGCGATTCTGCGACAAAAGCATTACGTCTTTCCAGCGCAAGTGGTTAATACCAAACTCATGAAATTTAAAAGGAAATATTAAAAGAAAAATCGTGTAGTTAAAACGATAAAGTTGTATACGAAATTTTTAATCGAAAGTTAAAAGTGATCGTTTAGATCTTGGTGGGTTTACTGTTGAAATTAATTAAGTTAACATGATCATCGCTATGGCAGACACTGGTGACCATTTATGTTTAAATTTTTGCTCAGGAATGCATTATACGTTGATAGTGGATGATTGTCAAATTATACGTCACATTCTTTCTGCTACTGCACAGTATAATTATATTATTCATTTTAAGATAATATGATCCACCATTGGCGTGAAAATCCGAGAAATAAAATTGAAAAATTGAAATTGCTGTCGAATTACTAATTTATCATTGGAACAGCTAAGTGAGCATGATTAAAATAGCGATAAATGACGAAAAAATTTGGAATATTCAAAAAAGTAAGGTAGCCAAAAGCAGAGAAGAGAGGTGGGAGGAAGAGAAATTCTAATAGCTTCCAGTTTCTACTAATTTTGATCCCACTAACAAACGCTCCCGTTGTCGTCGATTGCATGCGATATCCGTAGTATCTTTTTGTGTTTTCGATTAAACGTTAGTGTATCTAGGTTTCGTGTGTTAATCGTAATACACCCTAGCCGAGCGATTTTGGCACGATCCAACGATTCTATTCACCGCTAGAATATCAATTTCCAAATGAAAGATTCAGGCATTCCGGCTATCCGAATGCAAACGAAAAATATTCCGTCTCCGCAACGTGATGGGAAGCGTATTAAATTCGTGCCAAAATCGATCACAGAGATCATAGATAATTTCCGATAAAACCGATCCTCTCCCTATGCCCCATCCTAACCCCCGAAAAAATAACGAAACCAATTAACGCTTCGTCGTAAAAAAAAGGAATTTCAAAAAAAAAAAAAAAAATAAGACTAAAAAGATTAAACGAAAATGGAGGACCTGGTTGGACCTGACCTTACAGTGTTACATTATAGGGTGTCAAGGGTGAGAGCGGTGTGGCATTGATGAGAGGCCCACCCGGTCTACCGGGTCCAAAGGGTGAACCCGGGGAACGGGGTTACCGAGGCGAAAAAGGCAGCAAGGGAGACACGGGCTCACCAGGTAGATTTTCAAGAGCCAATACCTCTGCGAAATTCAAGAGAAAAATGGATGACAATGAACGATATCTTTCCTTCCAACCGCTACGGGCGACAAAGCGTCTTCTTTTGGCCATTCCTTCCGATCTGATGGGTCTCTTCTATTCGTGACCTCTGGCCTACACGTGGACGTGGCCGGCTATGCCTTTGAAAGCCATCCCCGTTTCCCTCAGTCCAGTTCGAGCAGACGCTTTTGCCATCCCTGTGCGACTGAGAACGTTTAAACAGTCTTTGTACAGTTTGAGCTTCCTATTTTCTTCTAAAAAGAATTTCATAAACTTGAGAAAATTTGCTCAATGGTGTCTCCCGTTTTATTGTTCCTCCATCGATGGTGAAAAGCTTCAATAATGCGCACCTATTGGATTCCGAGACAATGTGTGTCTATGTGTGTTTGTGGATGCTGAAAGGAGAAAATGATTTTTTACTAGATGTACGCTAATAATGATTAACCTGTTCATCTATGTGTAACGAGGAAATGATTATGTAAGAAACCGAGTTGACATGTATGATGATCGGTGTTTATTC